GGGGGGGGGGGGGGGGGGTGGGTAATTATGCTAACAAAGGAAGTTACAACCTCAAGAAGCTGCATCAGTTGCTATAAGCGTACAGAGATTAGGAGGTGGAGATACCATGCACCTCCACAAACAAAATTTCCAAACTTGACCTAACTTGGCCAAAATTTCCCTTAGAGTATACTTCTACGATTGAAGATTAATACAATTCCGATCCCTGCACGCAACCAGTACTTCTTCGCTCTAAACTCCTGAATTCCGCGTATATAAAATTGGAGAAGTAATAACAAATGTGTTTAAAAGAGTGGACTAAATTAACTTATATAGTCATCGTATCGTATCAAATACTAACACAATATTCAACAATGCATGCAGACTAGAATTAAGTACGTTTATTTCCTAATACCAGCAAATGGCTTGTTTGTTTAACTCTTAGATGTTGAACTCTATAATTGCTTTGTTTTTTGTTTTTTGTTTTGGATGAAGGGGGGGGGGGGGGGGGGGGTGTTTAATTCCACTAACACTCCTTGAGATTAGTGTTATTAATTACATTTGACACTTTTTATATATATTAAAAATTACATTATCTTCGCTTACAGACGACTCTTATCTTCGCTTACAGGTACGACTCTTATTTTTATGCTTACAGGTACGACTCGTTTTGTTTTTTTTTTTTTTTTTTTTTTTTTTAATAATGGCTGTAACATGTAAGTAAGAATAATGTATAAATATCTGACACAAACAAATACCATTTTTTCTTAATCATGTGAATAGATATTTAATCTTTAAGTATTTGTGTATGAAAATATATAATTTATTGAGAGGCTAATTTTTAATGGATTTTTTTACCTCGAGACATTAATCATTGATTTCTAATTGAGGATACTCTAGCTAGTTCACCAAAAAATATGTATAAAACAAGGGAAGTAATTGTAATTTTTCAATGAACAAGGGTGTAAGTGTAATTAGCACTAAATTCAAGGCTAATTAGTGTATATATTATTTTTATTACCATTTCATGAAATAACGAATAACAAACTATTCTAAAGTTAACATATTGAAATCCATAAAACTAAAGGAGCGGTTTGCTTCGCTTATAAGTTTAATGATCTATGAACATGCTGAGGTCAAATATAAATTTTTTTTTCTATATACCCACACCTTTGTCTTATATGGATTTTGGTTGTTATCAACCGATTAAGATTGCTAAAAAGGAGGTTTAGTTTTTTAAAGATGAAAAACATATTTGCAAATAAGCTGGAAATTCAAATCAATAAAAATGACTAATCCACTAGTTAAGATTTTTTTAATCAAAGCGTAGGATCAAGATGGCTAAGCCCTCTATTTTAATATCAAACACAACAAAATAGTAATAGTACGTCAAAATAGAATATAAGCAAAACAAATTATCACTTTCTATGTAAATAGATAGTGAAAAGTATTTATTCCAACATTTAATACACTAATCTCCATATTTTCAAAAGTTGTGAGTAAAGTTTCATGCATATTTTATCATCTCTTGTAAAAGGCTCAAAAGATCAAATGAAGCTAGACCATATTTTTGCCTACTCCCTATCGAATTCTCTTTGATTTGTGTTGTTGTTTTGGTGCATTATTTTTGTGTTGATTGTTTCATTTTCTGAATTTTAGGATTTATATATATATATATATTACATAGGGTTTATTTTGCTTGTGTTTTTTTTAATGCACGTAATTTGTTCGTAAAATTGTCTCAAAGATCAGACAAATGATAGACACGAAATAATTGTTCACATGCACCCGCACCACCCCATAGGCACAAAAAAAAAATTAGCCGCCCCACACCTTAAGCACCAAAAAAAACTTAATACCAATAAACCTTAGGCACAAATTTGTTCCTATGCTTAATTCTAGAAATGTTCGTGATGATGTAATTTGATTTTATTTTTGTTTTAAAAATAATTTAAATTAAATAAAAAATTAAGTGTGATTCAATTTATTTGATTTAAATAAATTATAAAATTTGAATCGAACCAAATCAATCTTTTTTGGTTCAATTTTTGAAATTTTAAAATTTTGTTATTTGAAAACTAACTAATTAAAAAATGTATTATTATGTATTTTTTAAAATCATATGTAAAAAAATAAAATTAAAAGTGTATAAATATTAAAATATTTTGATCATTTAATGTATTTAATATCAATTTTATTTTATTATTTTAGTAAAAAATATTTCTTTAATACAATTTTAGTTATCTTGTTAAATATAATTTTTTCATATATATAACTTGTCACTTAAATTTTTTTTTTGAATGTTATAATAAATAAATCATAATTTTTTTATTTCTAAAATATAGTTTAATAGCTTACAATTTTATAACATACCTTATAATTTTTTTTTTTGATTTTGGGTATCCATTGTACTTATTTAATACAGTTAATTTGCTGATAAAAGAAAATCTTTTAAATATTATAAAGTATATTTTGAGAGAAAAAAATATTTTAATAGCTTATAATTTTATAAAATATCTTTTATTTTATTTGTCAATTTTGTATATATGCACTATGCATTTGAAAAAAGAAATAATTTATAAATAAGTGTAATTTAATTTTATTTAAAATGGTTTCAAATTTCAATATAAAAATCAAACAATATAATGTAATTTTTAAAATTTTAAAATTAAATTGAGTCGCTAATTTATAACTTTTTATTAATTTTTTCTTATTTCTTTAAAATTAATTTACAACTTCTCATTTGAATTGATGTTAAATTTTGAACACTCTTACTTAATTCGTATAATTCAATCAATCAATTATAACGTTAACACTTAATTAGTTTTATATGTATTTGGAAATTAATTCCATATCTTTCTCTTTACTTCACTTCTCTTTAATCTTTTAATTTGATTTTTTTAAATTTTAAATTTTAAACAAACTATTAAATCGTGAATGTTTTTATGAAAACAAAACTAAAAAGAGGATAAAAATAAAAGATAAAAGACTATATTTAAAATATTTATTTATTCCAATCGAATTGTTGGAGGCCACAATTGATCACGTTTCTTAATTAAGCTCATGGCAGATGACTTTCTTTGTCTCTAATCCATGTACATGGACCGATTATTATTGTGCAACAGCATTTATTAGTAGACGCGTGTAAGAAAATAAACGAAAAAGCAACTAAAATAAAGAGATGTACGCTATTATTATGCTTCACTTAAATATATTTTAACATTATAACATATTAATCTATGCAACACGGGGGAAATATCAGACTACGTACATTCCCAGGAATCTCTCAAACATTATTCTTTTTGCAATGTTCTAACACACCAAATGATTGAGTTTCCATCAGATGTAACTGCAACATAACACAACGTTGTCAGATCTTTGATTGCCAAATCATAATCCAAGTTAGTTTATTTATTCTTATTCTTTTGGTGTTCTTGTGTCTTGTGATTGCAGGGAACCTACCCCACCGTTGACAAGTTTGAAATCATATCCATAAGTCGCCACCAAACAAATCTTCCTAACAAATTAACATAATTCCAATGAATATTTGCAAACATGCACGATACAGTAACATGAATGTTCGTCCTAAATTCTATATCAAACATTTCATTATTAATGGTAGCCACGGGCATCAACATCAAGTAGGAAACGAAAATTCTTGATGATTGCTATTTGTAAAGGAATTTGTCATGTCGTTGACAATGTTATACAATGTATCGAGTGATCCCTTGCAAATGGAAAATGCAAGATTTTGGCTTGATAGTTGGAGATAAATGAAATTAATGAAAAAAGATTATTTTGTTTTAAAATTTATTTTGCATCTTGATCAAATGATGCGTGTCATTTATAATTGCGTATTAGAATCCTCGAGTCGCGCGTTTGTTTTTTGTTTACACTCATTGGTTTTCTTTTCATATTTCTGTGGCACCTTTGGTGGATGTGATTTGAATTTGGGCTGAATTTGGACATTTAGTCTCATTTCATTCAATACAGAGGATTTGGTAAAAAATATAATACAAAACAAGTTAGGATTCTACCTCATTTTGTAGTAGAAAAAAATATTAATTAATATACTCTTTCAATAATAATTTTTATTTATTAAAATTAAATTATGCCATTGTTTCCATCGTCTATTTTATTCAATGCTCATGATATTATAATTTCAATTAATTTTGGACAAAATAATAAGTGTGTTAAAAAAATTTGCGTATTATAACACTCTCTTTTATATATAGTTATCCGATTTGGCCAATATATGGTGAATTATATTTTAGGCAACGAAAATCGATATGACATAGCAACTGGATCTTATATTCATGTTAGAGGAATCAAAATAATTTTATCTATTTATTTATTTATATAAAAATAATTTATTAATTCATTTGAATCTACTAAAAATTTATCTAAAATATCTAATCTATTTAATTCATTTGAGAGAAATTAAAAATTCAATCTGTCCATTAT